TCCGCGCATGAAGATGGCAAAAATGAGCTTTTCTTGAGGTTTTCCAGGTCCTCATTCAGTGCAAAGTATGCGTGAGTGTGTGGAGCTCGAAAGATAGAGGCGGGGTGCGGAAGACTTCTGGCGTATTTGCATTGGATGCGGACTTGAAAAGCATTGAAAAGGGCTCATTTTCATGCGCGGAAAAGCTCAGATATGAGTTCCTCTGGAGAAGGTCCCGAGAAGGTGAAAAACTCGAAACGAAATTCTGCCGAGCCGTTGCTTTAACTTGGGATTTTCGTCATAAATTTTTCAGAATCATATGTCATTTCTATATCGAACGGTAGATCATCTCATGGATATGTTGTAAGCCACGCACACTCGTTAAGTTCTTTGGTCGTTTCGGCAAAAATGCTTTTTTAAAGACCTGAAGGAAAGCCTAATCATGGCTTTTTATTCTGCGCGATGGCTTACGACTACCTCATGAATTCATACCCAAGTTTCATGTTCGGAGAAAGGATAGACCAGTTTGCCTTTCATACAAATTTCCCATATGAATTTTAGGAGGATGATGAGGCACTTCGAAGACCTGTTGAGGAGAAATTTGAGAAAGAAGGTCATCCGTATTTCGCGTCAGCTCGTCTCTGGGATGACGGTGTGATTGACCCGCGTGATACGCGCAAAGTTGTTGGACTTGCTTTTCAAGCGGCCCTCCAGAAGCCAATACCCGAAACGAAGTTTGGTGTGTTCAGAATGTAGCCTGTTCGTTGTCTTTGCTCAATTCGTAGGTTTCTAGTCTTTATAGGATTGTATTGTTTGATTTATCACATTTTTACCACTTTCTATTGTTTGCTCAATTCCATATCACCCACTTAAGTGCTGCATCAGGAATATGTTGTTGACCGGTGCCTTTCTTACTTTGCTACCTTATGCATCAATCAGGGCTTCCTATGTTGTGTACCTCATGCACCTTTTGGTGCTACTCATATCCGTGTCCCGTTGAATAAAGTTCACGTCTTCCTTGGTTTCACGATCTTGTATCGATAAGGGCGCGACTAGAACGGAGTATAATTAGGCTAGAGGTTGGAAACTAGTGTAAAATAAGTCATGTTTACAGGAATTACGGGTCAGAGGTGTACGCTTTTGGTCACCGAATTGGAGCCCCAGAAGTGCAGCCAGATAAGCTTGTGAAGGTTTTTATTCTAGAAAATTTAGTTCGCTAGGTTCATGAAGAATTTCGAACTTCTAGGCACTGACATGTGAGTCATTTTTTACACGTGCTGATGTTGAAGAAGGTGCTAGTGGCTCAGCACCAAGTCAATCTTTTGAAATTGGTGAAGAAAGCAACTCGGAACTCATAGCGAAAGGTTAGTCCTTGCAGTATGTTAGTGTATCGCTAGGCATACTCAAAGGCTTATTTCTTTCTTATTCTGCTGAAATTCAGGCCGCGGCATCTTATCTCATATGGTACTTACATATCTTCGATCTCATCTACCTCTTGCACCTGAGGAGTTTGTACAAGCTGTTGCTTATCAGCTGATATCAGACGAGCAGCTTTCGAACATTGCCAAGCACCTGGGTAATCAGATTTTCATCCTCATACCCAAAAAGTTCCATTTTCATTTGCTTTCTCATCTGACATTCCGTTACCCAGGTGTTGACGTACTTGTACGCACCGCTGAACAACCACCCTCATCTACGTCGATTGCTGATGCGTTTCGAGCTTTGTTCGCTGTAATTGGAGAGCAACGAGCCAAAGTCCTTGTCATCGACGTTATCATACCCCAACTGATCGATATCGATTTTGCGGACGTATACCCCCTCAAAGAACCTCTCGCAGTGTTAACTGATTTGTTGGTAAAGGAGGGAGCAAAAGAGGTACTGTGCTGCATTTTCATCTGTTCAAAATCTGCATTGTCGTTGTTTTAGGTAGAACCAAGACTTTTGCGCTCAGCAGGTACGGTAAGCGCCCAACCAGTCTATGTGGTGGGCATTTACAAGGACAAGTCAGAAATTGTTGGGCAGAGTATGTCTCTAGTTTTCTAATAAATTGCAGCCATACAGCATAATTCTCTTATCTCAAGGCGCTGGTGAAACTTTGGAAATTGCCGTTGATATGGCTGCTCGGGAAGGCCTACTACGTCTATGGGGTGTAACAGCAGACAGGTATGGTTCTAGTTGAGAGGAAGTCTAAATGATCATTTTTTGAACGACA